ACAGGTCTATTGCAGTCCCATACACCATTGAAAACAGTTTAAACCAACCAAGAAAAACCCATTCAGTCCAAACAACCCCTAAGAATCAAAACTGGACCCTTTTAAGTGAGAACTGGCTCTTTTAAAAGTTGGAGCCTACTCCAATTCACCTAAAGCTGGCTCTAGGACCTTGAGAGCCGACTCCATTGCACCTAGAGCCATCTCCACCTCAATGGGAGCCGGCTCCAATGGTTTTGGGAGCCTGCTCTCCCTCTTATGGCAGCCGTCGTCCGTTTTCACCTTGTCTCCTTCGACTTCGGTGATCTCCAAGCCTCTGTACTATGTTTAAATCCTTGTTCCAATGTTCAATTATCATTCTAGAATAATTATAAGGTGACTATATGAATTGTTGTTCTCAACCAAGCAAGCTCAAGCACATATAAAGAGCATCAACTAGTTAACAAAAACTTAAAGAATTTGCAACACAGTTTCAACAAATGAGATTAATTATCAATCAAGCATGCATAAAAGATTGTTTAAGCATTTATTAAACTCCTGGAGTCCATCTAAGCATGCACAGATCACAAGTTTAAGGGAAAGAGAAGAACAGAGACTTGCCTTTGAGTTTCAGTTTGAAACTCTAAATTGTCGTCTCTGAATTTTCCGACGAGATTCCCAACTGTTGTTCCACCTCTGCTGCTCATGGTTTCACCTACGAACAACCTCTACTTCCTCCTTCTTGGTCCAACCTTGGTCTAGACCAAATCATAGCCCTCCTCTCTTTACCTTCCTCTATTTCTCTCAGTACCTCTCTGTCTCTCTGTTTTATAGAATTCCTCTTAATTTTCTAAACCCAAAACCACCGTAAGGTTTGTATTTATAGGTTTATAACAATAACCCTAACCATGTATAATTTGTGACAGAGCCTTACTTCCTAATCCTAGTCGGCCCATGAAACTGTCTATGTTATATATTCATCGACTATATACACGTGAATTTTACTGTAAAGCCATAAAGGTAATTTAATTTAAAACAATTTAACATTATAATTATTACACTAATTTAATCCCATTAAAACATTTGATTAACCCAAGGTACACAACAAAAAGGAAAAAAACTAAATTACGAATTAACACAAACACCTAATTACTACTTAACGAAAATACACAAATCAAATTAAAGGGAACAAGAAACCCACCAACGAAATTAAAGCAAATAAATACTAAAAATAATTAAACCTTTAAACAAATAAGCAATTAAACAATTTAACCATTAAAATTCCAATTAAACAAATAATGAAATACCAGAATTATCCTTTATAAAATTAGGAGTATTACAGGTGGACTGTAGGAAGTATGGACATGTGCACCTGTAGCGTGTGTGCCTTTAAATATGGTGGTGAGCTTATCAAAATGATTGCATGGCTTCTTTCGATACTTACCATATTGGGAATTCACCTACAAATTATTAAATTACTATTAATATTAAGTTAAGTATAATTTTTTGTAAAATCAACATAAATTTATTTTAAAAACTAACCTTGATCAATCTAGTCCATCTTTCATTTTCAACTATAACCATGCCCGTCTCAGCATTGTATCCCAGGCCTGTTTCTCCTAACAAACTCATAAAGGCTCTGTAGTCTACCCTCATGTGGTTGAATTTGCTTTTAAGTTGTTTCGGTTCATAGTTCTTGCCTGTACGGATAGTCATGCCTTTCCGTATATTCTTCCAACCATTTGGAGTAAAAGTTGTGTTATTCCGATTACCAGCATAGACTTCTTCCTCCATACAGATGATGAAAGCTTTAAGATGAGAATCATCCCATACTAGTTTTTCATCATCGGTATTGTCTGTAAGGTTCTCTATTTCGGAGTCTACCACATTGTCAGCATTGATATCCATCTAATTACATAGTTTTAATAAAAATGTGTTAAAATGGTCATTAACAACTGTAATATCCTCTTAAGAAAGTACGAATACATTTACTAAGTTGTCATAATAATATGACTCATCATGACTTCTACAACTTCAGTATTAGTAGAAGTTTAATTTAACCATAATTGAATAAGTATTGATTACCGCTCAATTATTTGGTCTTGTTGATGTAATCTAGTCATAATAATATTGTGAGGATGTTTTTTGCATTTTCACTTGTAAATTTTCAATTGAGGGCAACGAATACCCCGTCTACTATAATTTTCAATTGAGGGCAATGAATACACTTATAATGGGGCCATCTAAGGTTTTGATAATTTTAAGAGAGGGTAGTCTAAGAATTATGAACATGTACGTATACAAAATAAATAAATAAATTTGTGTGGGGTGGTTGCCCCAACTTGGCCCTTAGTGGTTCCGCCCTGATTGCACAAGAACAATTTTAGAATGACAAGTGTTATTTCTGAGATAGAGAGTGCATTTTCATATAGTTGGTATAAAAAAACTAAAATTGCATTAATAATCTAACTCATTCAGTGGATTAATTACCTTGATAATCTAATGTCTCCATAATTTAGGTAGTGACTGTGTTTTTGTGAAAGATGAATAATCCACCGGTCTCTTTCTAGCTAGCTAACCTAATTACTTTGAATTTGAAAGTTGTATATATATACATTGAAAAAAATATTGATGATGGATAATTGTGAGTGCAGGATGATGTGGCTCATCCTGGGATTGTAAAAATGAAAAATGGTGTTGCAGCTAGGCAAAGTACTACTTTTGTAATTCAATAATGCTCTTCCATTTGTTTTTCCAAATAGTTTATGATGTAGCCTAGTGCTTTCATCTAAATAACTGTCATGTTGGTTTTATAAGTCTCCTTTTGGGGATTTGGGTTCGAATGTGTAAGCTCCTATTATTTTTATATCCAAAACTCTGTATAAATTCAACTTTATGCGTTAATTTGTTCCTTTGGCTTCAAATAACAATTATTAGACGTTTATATACATATATATATGATGGATGAAAGCATCCCATATCAAATCCAACAACAGCTTCTTGGAAATGAAAATCTCACAAAACATGCAACTCATGGTTTTGGAAAAAGCTAGCTTAGAGGACTTGCAAGATCAGTACAATACCCCTCGTCATCAAATACACAATATGAGATGAATCCACCACTTAAGCCAATCAATTGGCTTCCCAACAGTTGATAAGCCACATTATAATCACTAGGATATACCAAACAAAAAAATTAATTGTTTTCATAAAACTAAATCAAACAGACTAATCTCATTTATGTCACAGCACAACCAAATGTGATGAAGAAGAAGCATACGAACTCACCGGTGATTGTGCAGAGAGCAGCGGCGAGGTATGGGTTCGCCGGAAAGAGCTTCACAGAGGTGAGATCGAGGGTTCCTCTCTTCAGATCTGCAAAATGAGCTCAGCGATTTGAAGCCCGATCTTCAAACAACTAGACTTTAATTTTATACACAGCACAACGAAATGTGATGAAGACTCAGCATATGAACTCACCGGTGATTGTGCAGAGAGTAGCGGCGAGGTATGGGTTCGCCGGAAAGAGCTTCACAGAGGTGATACAGAGGGTTCCTCTCTTCAGATTTGCAAAATGAGCTCAGGGATTTGAAGCCCGATCTTCAAACAACTAGACTTTAATTTTATACACAGCACAACGAAATGTGATGAAGACTCAGCATACGAACTCACCGGTGAAAAGTGATTGACTCTCGGAAAGCTTCAACCCCCAAACAGTGTATATCGCCTCTGTGAATCTTATCCGGAGAACCCTAGAAATGTTCCACCAAATCTATTTATATGTGTTCTCAGAATGCATGAACTTTGGGCTGTTGTTCCAAGCTCTACAGTGAATAGTGGGCAGTTTATATTTTGGGTACACTTTGGAACACCAATTTCTTGTTCCGGAAATTGGCCCAATTCATGAAATTGTTCTTGCACTGTTCAGTACAATACAGCCATCTCCAAACAAGTTGGTGTCCTCAATAGTGTCAATTTGCACTGTAGGGAACAGCCCATCACAACATAGAGCATCCCCCAAATAGGCCCTAAGGAGCAAGGAGTCGGTGGGGGTGTAGATGGTACGAGGGCTTTATGATAAGAGGTCATTATGATCATTTTAAGTCTCGAGGGGCGTATTTGCACCAAATTGATAATATTAGAGGTTTTATATTACACATATAATTATTTGTACTATATCGGTAGCAGAGGGAATGTTTTGCACTTGACCCTTATAATTTTTTTATCTTTTCTCTCTCCAGTTCTTTCATCTCTTGCTCATTCTTTCCAAAATCTACAAATAATCATGGTGTTACCATATTAGGTATTATTTGAAAATTATTCTGGTACTATATACAAAATTTGTATTATTTATAAATTATTGTGGTACTTGATATAAAATTAATTATATTTTTTTTACTCCTTACAATAGAAATCATGCTTCAACAATGCTATTTTTTTTATTTTATTTTATTTTATTATTATTTTTTTTAACAATAATCACGCTTCCACAATTTGAGAATTTCCCCAGCTTCCTTAACTCATTTCATACTTCTTTCATGAAAAAAAAAAATAATAATAAATAAATAAATAAATTACTGAATCAATTAAACTTGTTGCTTGGTAAATTTACTATTGAATTCATCAAAATTAATGGTACTTATGCATTTGTGCCAGTGCGATTTTATATATATATATATATATATATATATAAAGAAATAGGATTCACGAAGATTCCACCTTAACAGAGAAGGGTAATAGTGACATTTAAAATTTAAAAAATATGTATTGTGAGCTTAGAAATTTTTTGTAATTCCATTTTAAAAGAAAAGAAGAGTGGAGTAAGCGCCAATAATAATATAATATCACTAGCCTTTTTAATTACCTAAAAATAGAAAAACAGTGAGGGAGGAGGGAGAGGGACGTCAAAAGGGTATTTTGGGTTTTTTCTTTTTTAAAAAAAAGGGTCTAAATTGAATAAACTGCCACATTTTTTTTATACAGGATTTTGTTGTTTTTTCACTTTACCCTCCTTTCTTTAATTCATGAACGACTTGGAGCGTCAAGTCACGTTTGAACTCTCAGCGATGATGAAGAGAAATGGATCTGCTATTGCTTCTTCGGTCTGGAGAAGGTTATTTCCTCACAACTGCCTCTCAAAAGGTACTTGTCTTCCTACTACTACTACTACTTTTCTCTCTCTAAACCCAAACCCATTATCGCATGTTCATTATACAGTTTCATTTCACTCTCATTCTTCTACTTCGGATCGTAAATCACTGACCCAGAAACCTAGAATTGGGTTTTACAATATTAATAATCTCCAAGACGCTCTCAATTTATTCAATCGAATGCTCCAAACGCGACCTTTGCCTTCTATTATTGAATTTAATCAGCTTCTAGGGTTTATTACCAGAATGAAACATTACTCTACTGTTGTTTCTCTCTACAAACAAATGCTTGTGTTGGGTATATCTGTTGATGAGTACACCATGAACATTGTAATAAACTGTTATTGCTACCTCAATCGAGTCGATTTTGGATTTGCTACCTTAGGCGACCAACTTAAACGTGGTTGTTGTGCACCTGATGTCACTACATTCAACACCCTGAGAAAAGGGCGTTTCTTAGAACATAAAATTGCCGAGGCAATGGGGTTATTCAACAAGCTGTTGAGGGAGAATGAGATTGAGCCTGATAAAATTATGTATGCAACAGTGATAAATGGTCTTTGCAAAGCAGGGAATACTAGCACGGCCATTGGGCTACTTAGGGCTATCAAGAAAACAAGGGCTAACTTAGTAATGTATAACGCCATAATCGATAGTCTTTGCAAGGACAGAATGGTAGACGATGCTTTGGTCCTTTTCTCCGAAATGATTGAGAAAGACATATTGCCTGATGTTATCGCATACAATTCATTGATTCACGGACTTTGCAATTTTGGTCGATGGAAAGAGGCTAAAAGACTATTGAATGAGATGGTGGATCTGAAAATTTTTCCAGATGTATATTCCTTCAATATTTTGGTAGATGCACTTTGCAAAGAAGGGTTGGTAAGAGATGCAGAGAGTATACTAAAAATCATGATTCAGAGAGGTGAGAATCCTGATGTAGTCACTTACAATGCTTTGATCGATGGATATTGTTTGCAAGGCCAGATGGATGAAGCGATGAAAGCATTCAATTCCATGGTGGACAGGGATATTGTGCCTAACACCATCACCTTTAACACTTTAATCAATGGATATTGCAAGCAGATGAAGATTGATGAGGCCATCCATCTCTTGCGAGAAATGCCTTGTAAAGGATTGGAACCCACAATTGTCACTTACACAACGATGCTGCACGGGTTGTTCCAAAATGGTAGATGTGCTGCAGCAACAAAGCTTCTGAATGAGATGCAAGATAGAGGTCAAATTCCAAGTACTCACACTTACTGTGTCGTGTTGGATGGCCTATGCAAAAACGGACACATTTCTGAAGCGTTGTCAATATTTCACTCGATGGAAAGCAATGGATTAAATTCTCGTATTTCTATTTACAGTATCCTCATTGATGGACTTTGTAAGAATGGAAAATTTGATGTTGCTTGGGGTCTTTTTGATGAACTTTCCTTCAAAGAGATGCAGCCTGATGTTATTACGTATAGTATACTTATACATGGACTTTGTCTAGAAGGACTGCTGGAGAAAGCTGAAGAGCTGCTCAGGAAAATGGAAGAGACTGGTTGCTTGCCTAATAGTGTCACTTACAACACTATAGTCCAAGGATGTATTAGGAGAAAAAAGTGTGACAAGGCAGTGGCACTTTTAGAGGAAATGACCAAGAAGGGTTTTTCAGTGGATGCGTCTACTTTTTCTATGTTACTGCATCCACTCTACACTACTGGTCAAGACCCTGCACTCCTCAAAATGATTCAGAAGTTCGTGCCAAAGGAAAACATGGACATCCTAGCCTAAGTGTTACATGGATTTCACCACTTGTCAGGATGGATATTGTTGTTGGTGGCTATTTGTTAGAATCACTGGATATATTCCCTAATCTATTTGTAGAAGCTTCACTTTTTAGAGGATATCCTCTGGAAATTGCTAGATAGATTTCCGACTTCATTTTTGTGTAGATTGTGATCATTTGGCTGCAATCACAAAAGGGATTGAATCACCAAAATAATTGGAAGGGGGAATGGGTAATTTGCTATCTTCTCTCATGTCTATACCATTTAAATGCTCACTTTGATTAATCACTTCTTTATGAGAGAAAAAATGCTTTTCCTTTCTCTTAGTGATAGTCTATGAACATGTTTTCTTTTTTGGGATATTTTCACATCTTGAAACTTCGTGTTTTCAATCACTCATGCCATGGCTATAAAATGTTAGCACCAATCTTTGTTGTTCTGTGATGCAACCTAGTACTAAGACTCAATAGAAAATGGGGGATATCTAAGTGTGACAACTTTAACTTCTACAATTTTGGCATTCTTGTAGAAATTAAAAATTCTATATATTTACTAACATGCAAATGTCATATTTGATGGAATTTCAATTTGGAAAGATAGAATTGCTTGGTGTTCAGTCATTTATTTTTGTGACATTCTAGGATTTGTAGTGCTGTCTACTAGTATTTATTAAAATTCTTGCAGAAGATTATATCTCTATCTGCTTAATTCTCTTGTACAATCCAAGTTTGAAGCTCTTTTTTCGGCTCATTGGTAAAGTTGAATATAGTAAAGAAGCTTTTTGAAGGACTACAACTAAAAAGAGTGAAGAAGCTGTGTGCGTGTGTGTGGGCGTGCACGTGTGTACTTGCCTTTATTTTGGCTAGAAGTGCTATAAGTATTGCTGTGCCCATTTCCAGTTTTATTGCCTATTCGTGAGTATTCTAGCTTAGGATACTTTGATTCGATTTATTTCGTTTTAAATTACAATTTTACCACTCAATAACAAGCTTATGAGTTGAATAATTTTTGCTTCGGTAGCTGAGACAAAGAGAAAAAGAAATTAACACTCTTGGTTGTTATAGAAAGCCTACAAGTGAGCCCAAGAGTGCTAGACGCTCCTTGATTGCTTCAAGGTTGATATGTTTTTGGATTTCAGGACGGTACAAGTGGCAACGTATTCATTTCTTCCACATTTTCATTTGCCAAGATTCATTTATGTGTATTGCGAGAAAAAAATTAATTAGTTTTGCTAAGTTGATATATTCATATATATGCCAATTTTTCTTTTTAATCTTGCTTGTTTTCACCAACGGGCATATAGCTCAATGGTATAAACTTCCTAATTCTCAAAGAGGAGCAAAGAGGTTTGAGTCCGATTGTGGGCAAAAAGAGTGTGTTTCTTACCCTGCAAAAAAAAAAAATTAAATAAATAAAATAAAATTTGCTTTTTTCTGCCATTTTGCCAAATATTTTGGGGGTGTCAGAAATTTTTGTCTATTTATAATATAAGTAATCATTTCCTCTTTCTTTTTATTATTATTTTTTCCCTTAAAGAAAGTGTTGAGATTGACTTGTTTTAGTCTTTACATCACGAATCATGATATAATCCAGATTATTGTCACGGGCTCCTTACAATTATGACAAAAAATAATGCCCCGAACAGTTACACTCTTTTTGTTTTGTTTTTTGTTTTCTTCTTTCTTCTTTCTTTTTCTAATTTATAAAAAATAAATAGGATATGAATAAAATTCAGTATTTGTTTTAGTTCGACATTATAGTTCTATTTGTCATTTTGTTAGTTTAAGATTTTGTGAAGTTAAAGTTAGTGTATCTGCTTAAACTTTTTGCCTTATTCACTAATGTTTCCTGTAACTTCTACCGTTTCTTGAACTTGGGCATTGCAGGTTAGTTCAAACTTCAAACTTCAAACTTCGGAGGGATTACAACTGCTAGTGACTCTTGATGGTGATAGGTATGATCTTCATGACAAATCCCATGATGTTCAAGGGCTCGTCTGGATCATTTTTGTTTCCAAAGCAGTTTTATATTTTTACTTGTGACAATAACTTCAATATCGAGTTCTAAGGCATTTAATTAACGAATCAATTTAACAATTGGAATTGATGGAGACTTCATTCTTTCACCGAGTGCATTTCATAATGTGGTAAATTTCTAAGCCTTTTGTTTTCTTGATTTAAGCTGAAGTTGAGAAAATAATTCCTTATATATATTTTTTATTTTCTCTGTTCTCCCTCTAAATGAAGGAGAATGTCCATTCATCCTACGTTGTCTGATACATGGTTTACTAGGAAAGTTACCTCTAATGATTTTATCTATTTTTTTATATACAAATATCTCTACTGATTTTATGGTATTCACTCTTCTAGATGAGATTGCTTTATTGCATTTTTAACATGTATAATTGTTTATAGGGATTACTAACGAAGGCGGATGCAATCAGTGTAACTGGAATGAGCGGTAAATGATGAGACTGGAATGTGAAGTTGCTAAGCTCGTGGAAGAAGAAGATGTTGGAACCGCCATGCAATTCCTCGAAAAAGATGTTTCTCTCTGAACTTCCATTATGTATTCAAAGTACTATTGTTCGCGATATGGTTGTAACTTGACACTTATTTGATACAAGTATGTTATTTTTTTAAAAATATCCGTGCTTTCATAATTAGTACTAACTTTTTAAAATTTTAAAGTTCTTATTAAAATTTACATCAAAGAAAAGGTTTGGCAATTTCCGAAAGGAGCAAAACAAAGGAAAAAGATGTTTCTCTCTAAACTTCCATTATGTATTCAAAGTACCATTGTTCACGGTATGGTTGTAACTTGTTGATGTACTTTGTATTTCTCGTGCTTTTCAATGAAATTTCGTGCCTACTTATAAAAATAAAAAAATCCTCGCTCCAATTTCCTTTTATCCTAAACTGATACAAAAAAATCCCAAAACCTTGACTTATTAATTCATACATTTTTAAATATCGTTATTATCCTTCTCTATTAAGTTAGGTGTCCCCAAAAAAAAAAAAGAAAAGAAAGAAGGTGGTGCAAATAAGCCATTGATCACTTTTTGGTTAAAATTGACAAAAATAAATTTAAAAATACTAATTTGCCCTTTCCTCTTTTTATTCTACCATTTTTCTCTCCTACGCCCCTCACCACAGCCACTGAGGTCATTGACGCTGAGCTCGGTGGCACCACGACGGGAGCAGGAGCCAACACCGGCGACTTAGTCGGATAAGTAGTCAGCGACCGTTGTTTGGAGGGAATCTGCGGGTTGGAGCACTGAAACAGAGAGGACGAGAAGAGTGGTGGCTATGGCACACATCAACACAAACCACCACTGCAGAATCACACAAACCACCACTGTCCCATTCCCAACCCATCACCACCACAAACCACCATTGTCCCAATCCCAACCCATCACTACACAATCACATCAACACAAACCACCATTGTCCCAATCCCAACCCTTCACCAATTACCACCACAAATTAACCCCAAAATCACCCACACAAATCCTAATCCCAACCCATCACTAATCGCTGCCGCCACCACAATCACCATTGTCCTAAACCCATCACCAATCTCATTGCCGGAATCAAGCATCATAAAGAACGCCTCCACCGGCGGCGGAGGGAATGAGAGAGAAGTCATGCGCTCGACGTGGCATGAGAACGGCGACAGGTGAGAGATGAAGCCTTGGATGCCATGAACGACAACGAGGTCGTTGTTGAAGAGATCCAGACGAGTGACCTCGATGCCGGCCTGTGACGAAGATCTTCGAGTAATTTTTGTCTGACATGATGGTGATGCATCGGGCAGGGACTAAGGTTTCGATCTTGGTGCCGAATGCTAACTTGCGTAGGAAATGGATGGGGGTAGAGACCTGGTGTAATAAGGGTCATTTTGTCCCACATCGGAATCAGATGGGAAAGAAATTGGGTATAAATGGGTGGGTATGCAGTCTTACCTAACAGTTCGAGCTTTTGGGTAAATGGGTAAGCGCCCACCCGTTACAGTCCTTGATCCGGTGCCACGCTAAGCGCCCGGCCCGGAAGGCGTCCGGGTGAGTCCACCCGGGTAGGCAGGGTGGCCCAACCGCAACGAGGGCGTTGCGAGTTTGGGTGGGGGAGAATGTAACAAGGGTCATTTTGTCCCACATCGGAATCGGATGGGAAAGACATTGGGTATAAATGGGTGAATATGCAACCTTACCTAACAGTTCGAGTTTTTGAGTAAATGGGTAAGTGCCCACCCGTTACACCTGGGATGGTGTCCTCGTGGAGGAGGAGGGGAACAGAATAGGAAGGGCAGGTAGCGAGCTTTTATACTATATATAAACTTATTTACACTATATCAATAATAGTGGGATGTTTTGCACTTGACCCTTATAATTTCTTTATCTTTTCTCTCTCCAGTTCTTTCATCTCTTGCTTTCTCTTTTCAAAATCTACATGGTGTTATCATATTAGGTATTATTTGAAAATTATTCTGGTATTACATACAAAATTTGTATTATTTTTAAACTATTGTGGTACTTAATACAAAATTAATTATATTTTTTTTACTCCTTACAATAAAAATCACGCTTCAACAATACTTTTTGCACTTGACCCTTATAATTTCTTTATCTTTTCTCTCTCCAGTTCTTTCATCTCTTGCTTTTTCTTTTCAAAATCTACATGGTGTTATCATATTAGGTATTATTTGAAAATTATTCTGGTATTACATACAAAATTTGTATTATTTTTAAACTATTGTGGTACTTAATGCAAAATTAATTATATTTGTTTTACTCCTTACAATAAAAATCACGCTTCAACAATACTTTTTTTTTTTTTTAACGGTAATCACGCTTTCACAATTTGATAATTTCCCCAGCTTCCCTATCTCATTTCATACTTCTTTCATGAAAAAAAAAAAAAATTACTGAATCAATCAAACTTCTTGCTTGGTAAATTCAGTATTGAATTCATCAAAGTTAAATAGTACTTATGCATTTGTGCCATTGCAATTTTTAATATATATAAAGGAATAGGATTCACGAAGACTCCACCTTAATCGAGAAGGGTAATAGTGACATTTAAAATGTAAAAAATATGTATTTTTAGAAATTTTTTGTAATTTCATTTTAAAAGAAAAGAAGAGTGGAGTCCTCGAGTAAGCAACAATAATAATATAATATCACTAGCCTTTTTTAATTACCTAAAAATAGAAAAACAGTGAGAGAGGGAGGTTAAAAGGGTATTTTGGGTTTTTTTAAAAAAAAGGGGTCTAAATTGAATAAACTGCCACATTTTTTTTATAGAGGATTTTGTTGTTTTTTCACTTTGCCCTTCTTTCTTTAATTCATGAACGACTTGGAGCGTCAAGTCACGTTTGAACTCTCAGCGATGATGAAGAGAAATGGATCTGTTATTGCTTCTTGGGTCTGGAGAAGGTTATTTCCTCACAATTGCCTCTCAAAAGGTACTTGTCTCTCTCTAAACCCAAACCCATTATGGCATGTTCATTATACAGTTTCATTTCACTCTCATTCTTCTACTTCAGATCGTAAATCACTGACCCAGAAACCTAGAGTCGGGTTTTACAATATTAATAATCTCCAAGACGCTCTCAATTCATTCAATCAAATGCTCCAAACACGACCTTTGCCTTCTGTTATTGAATTTAATCAGCTTCTAGGGTTTATTACCAGAATGAAACATTACTCTACTGTTGTTTCTCTCTACAAACAAATGCTTGTTTTGGGTATCCCAGTTAATGAGTACACCATGACCATTGTAATCAACTGTTATTGCCACCTCAATCGAGTCGATTTTGGATTTGCTACCTTAGGCCACCTATTTAAACGTGGTGGTTGTGCACCAAATGTGACTACATTCACCACTCTGATGAAAGGGCTTTTCTTAGAACATAAAATTGCGGAGGCAATGGGGTTATTCAACAAACTGTTGAGGGAGAATGAGATTGAGCCTAATGAAATTATGTATGGAACAGTGATAAATGGTCTTTGCAAAGCAGGGAATACTAGCATGGCCATTGGGCTACTTAGGGATATCGAGAAAACAAGGGTTTCTAGGGCTAACTTAGTAATGTATAACGCCATAATCGATAGTCTTTGCAAGGACAGAATTGTAGACGATGCTTTGGTCCTTTTCTCCGAAATGATTGAGAAAGACATATTGCCTAATGTTATCACATACACTTCATTGATTCACGGACTTTGCAATTTTGGTCGATGGAAAGAGGCTAAAAGACTATTGAATGAGATGGTGGATCTGAAAATTTTTCCGAATATACATACCTTCAATATTTTGGTAGATGCACTTTGCAAAGAAGGGATGGTAAGAGATGCAGAGAGTATACTTAAAATCATGATCCAAAGAGGTGAGAATCCTGATGTAGTCACTCACAATGCTCTGATCGATGGATATTGTTTGCAAGGCCAGATGGATGAAGCGATGAAAGCATTCAATTCCATGGTGGACAGGGGTATTGTGCCTGACACCATCACCTATAGCACATTAATCAATGGATATTGCAAGCAGATGAAGATTGATGAGGCCATGCATCTCTTGCGAGAAATGCCTTGTAAAGGATTGGAACCCACAATTGTCACTTAACAATTATGCTGCAGGGGTTGTTCCGAAATGGTAGATGTGCTGCAGCGAAAAAGCTTCTGAATGAGATGCAAGATAGAGGTCAAATTCCAAGTACTCACACTTACTGTGTCGTGTTGGATGGCCTATGCAAAAATGGGCACATTTCTGAAGCGTTGTCAGTATTTCACACAATGGAAAGCAATGGATTAAATTCTCATATTTCTATTTACAGTATCCTCATTGATGGACTTTGCAAGAACGGAAAATTTGATGTTGCTTTGGGTCTTTTTGATGAACTTTCCTTCAAAGAGATGCAGCCTGATGTTATTACGTATAATATACTTATACATGGACTTTGTCTAGAAGGACTACTGGAGAAAGCTGAAGAGCTGCTCAGGAAAATGGAAGAGACTGGACCGACTGGTTGCTTGCCAGATAGGGTCACTTACAACACTATAGTCCAAGGATGTATTAGGAGAAAAAAGTGTGACAAGGCAGTAGCACTTCTAGAGGAAATGACCAAGAACGGTTTTTCAGTGGACGCGTCTACTTTTTCTATGTTACTGCATCCACTCTACACTACTGGTCAAGACCCTGCACTCCTTGAACTGATTCAGAAGTTCGTGCCAAAGGAAAACATGGACGTCCTAGCCTAAGTGCTACATGGATTTCAACACTTCTCAGGATGGATATTGTTGTTGGTGGTTATTTGTTAGGATCATTGGATATATTCCCTAATCTGTTTGTAGAAGCTTCACTTTCTAGAGGATATGTTCTGGAAATTGCTAGATAGATTTCTGACATCATTTTTGTGTAGAATGTGATCATTTGGCTGCAATCACGAAAGGGATTGAATCACCAAAATAATTGTGGTTGAATGGTTTCTGACATTTAATTTCAGTTTGTCTATTATGAAGGTGGAAAACTTTTATGCTTGTTCAGATTCTAAGAAGACAAAGAAATTCAGCAACCAAGTGAAGCATTTTTGAATTCAAAAACATTGGAAGGGGGAATGGGTAATTTGCTATCTTCTCCGATGGCTATACCATTTAAATGCTCACTTAAATTATTCACTTCTTTATGAGAGAAAAAATGCTTTTAAATTATTAATATTGTTCACCTGGTTAACAGGTTTTGAGCATTAGTAAGACTGGTGGAACTGATGCAGTTGCAAAATTTGTAGCCCACATCCCCTCTCAATCAGTTGAGGTAACATGGAAGCGAGAATGAATCTTATACTTGTTATGGACACACATTTGAAGCAAGATTGTTATATCTATCTTTTCAAGATTTGGTATATTTAGTTAGAGCACTATTAATTTTCTTTTCCAAAATTTAGGTAGACACCAGTGAAGGCAGATGCAACCAGCGCAACTCGGATAATAACACATGAATGGGGAGTAGCTAAGCTCATGCAATTTCCCCAACCCAGAGCTCATCACTCAAATTATATGTTTCCTTGGCATTGTATTTCCAATTTTGCACGTCTGTCCCGTTTTGCAGTGGGATTTTGGGGCATGGTAAGAGAATGTTGAAATGGATTGGGGAGAATATAAATGTGTGTGTAATACACACACATTTCTAGTGATTGAGGAGAAGATGAGTCATTGGTCCTGATGAAGCTCTCATCACATTGAAATGTCCACACGGTAGCTAAAATTTGATTTAGTTTTAATCATCAGTGGTAGAGTTGGAAATTTAACTTGGTGAGAGTAATGTTGAACAATGACAAGACAATTTTTCTTTTTATTAAAATAATAAATGAAAAAACGTAAATATCTCCTTATACTATTTTTATTTATTTATGATCATTCTCAATCAATTTTCATATTTTAAACTTCGCATAATAATTTTTTTTGATAATTAGATAATCTCGGTAATATATTGTTACATGTAGAAAGATTGCATGTGTCTAATAGTAAATTATGAGGTGTTTTATGCTCGTCGATGAAAAAAATGTGTAAAAAATATGTAATAAATTACTTGGGAGTGTGAATACCATCTCCATATTTCAATTCCTTTAATGACAAAAAAAAAAAATGCATTTTGACCAATATATATATATATGTGTGTGTGTGTGTGTGTGTGTATATATCTTGCTGTACAAATGTTGGTAGTGATTTACAATTGGAAGTAGACTTATCAACGGATCCGATAACCTGAGGAATGTTGAGAGTACCAGTTGAGTGTTTACAACTGTTGGCTGCTTTATGTATTGTTGCAAAGTTCGTGATTTAGTAATGTAGGCTTTCTTTATAAAATGTGCTGAAGTTGTCTCTTTAACTGCACATGTATATCAGACAAGTAAACGATATTGTATGCTTCCCCACACGAAACTTTATCCCTTCCTCCGTCTCTTGTGTGGTGTATGCAGCCTAAGGCTGCAATTCGGGCTGGGCCAACCCAAATTTACCCGAGTCCAGTCCAAAATTTTTAGGGCTTGGATAGTGTTTTTTTGTTTTAGGCCTGGGTTTGGGTTAAATATTCTGAGTCCGAATTAAATTTGAGCTGGACTTGGGTTGATATTATATAAAGCCCGAAGCCCAACCCGAGCCTGGAAAGGGTATGTTTATTTTAAAGGAAAAATTACATATAAATGGAGTCAAAGTTCCATATTTACTTAGAGATTGAGTCAAAGTTCCATATTTCTCTAAAATGGATTGCTGAGGTGGCACATGGTTTTTTACTGTTTAAAAAAATATAGAACTTTAACTCCATTTATATGTAATTTTCCCTATTTTAAAACTATATTATTTCACAAGTGTATAATAGCTTAGTTGATCTAGTTGGGCTTGGGTAAAAGATTTTGTACATGAGTTGAGCCCGAATTAAGTCTTCAGCACGCCCAACCCGCCCGAGTTGTAGCCCTAATTCAGCCTACAAGAAAATTCTTGGAGAGAGAAAAATAAAAAACTCATAGCAATGGGGTAAATCCGAATAATTGGGCAATATCTAACTTAATGCGAACTTTTAATTTTGAATACATATTATAATTTTATAGGGCCACGTTAATAGGTTGGATGAAATTAATTCAACTTGAGATGGACACAACAAGCATGCTCCCATTTTAATTATCTAAAAATAAAAAAACAGTGAGAAAGGAGAGAGAGAGGGTGGGAGGTTATTAAGGGTATTTTGGGGTCTTGGTCTAAATTGAATAAACTGCCACATTTTTTTTCTTTATATAGGATTTTGTTGTTTTTTTTTCACTTTATCCTCCTTTATTTAATTATATTCCACATTTTTATGAACGGGTTGGAGCATCAAGTCACCTTTGAACTCTCAGCGATGGTGAAGAGAAATGGATCTGCTATTGCTTCTTGGGTCTGGAGAAGGTTATTTTCTCACAATTGCCTCTCAAAAAGGTACTTGTCTTCCTACTACTACTACTTTTCTCTCTCTAAACCCAAACCCATTATGGCATGTTCATTATACAGTTTCATTTCACTCTCATTCTTCTACTTCAGATCGTAAATCACTGACCCAGAAACCTAGAATTGGGTTTTACAATATTAATAATCTCCAAGACGCTCTCAATTTATTCTATCGAATGCTCCAAACGCGACCTTTGCCTTCTGTTATTGAATTTACTCAGCTTCTAGGGTTTATTACCAGAATGAAACATTACCCTACTGTTGTTTCTCTCTACAAACAAATGCTTGTGTTGGGTATATCTGTTGATGATTACACCATGAACATTGTAATAAACTGTTATTGCTACCTCAATCGAGTCGATTTTGGATTTGCTACCTTAGGCCGACTTACTTAAACGTGGTTGTTGTACACCTGATGTCACTACATTCACCACCCTGATAAAAGGGCTTTTCTTAGAACATAAAATTGCCGAGGCAATGGGGTTATTCAACAAGCTGCTGTTGCTGAGGGAGAAATAGATTGAACCTGATGGAGTTATGTATGGAACAATGATAAATGGTCTTTGCAAAACAGGGAATACTAGCATGGCCATTGGGCTACTTAGGGATATGGAGAAAACAAGGGTTTCTAGTGCTGACTTAGTAATGTATAACACCATAATTGATAGTCTTTGCAAGGACAGAATGGTAGATGATGCTTTGGTCTTTTTCTCCGAAATGATTGAGAAAGGTATGTTGCCTGATGTTATCACATACAATTCATTGATTCACGGACTTTGCAATTTTGGTCGATGGAAAGAGGCTAAAAGACTATTGAATGAGATGGTGGATCTGAAAATTTTTCCAGATGTATATTCCTTCAATATTTTGGTAGATGCACTTTGCAAAGAAGGGTTGGTAAGAGATACAGAGAGTATACTAAAAATCATGATTCAGAGAGGTGAGAATCCTGATGTAGTCACTTACAATGCTTTGATCGATGGATATTGTTTGCAAGGCCAGATGGATGAAGCGATGAAAGCATTCAATTCCATGGTGGACAGGGGTATTGTGCCAACCAATATTACTTATAACATCCTAATCAATGGATATTGCATGCAGATGAAGATTGATGAGGCCATGCATCTCTTGCTAGAAATGCCCAGTAAAGGATTGAAATCCACAATTGACACTTATACAACTATGCTGCAGGGGCTGTTCCGAAATGGTAGATGTGCTGCAGCGAGAAAACTTCTGAATGAGATGCAAGATAGAGGCCAAATTCCAAGTACACGCACTTACTGTGTCCTATTGGATGGCCTGTGCAAAAACGGGCACATTTCTGAAGCGTTGTCAATATTTCACACGATGGAAAGCAATGGATTAAATTCTCATATTTTTATTTACAACATTCTCATTGATGGACTTTGCAAGAATGTACAATTGGATGTCGCATGGGATCTTTTTGATAAACTTTCCTTCAAAGAGATGCAGCCTGATGTTATTACGTATAATATACTTATTCAGGGACTTTGTGTAGGAGGACTACTGAAGAAAGCTGAAGAGCTGCTCAGAAAAATGGAAGAGACTGGTTGCTTGCCAGATGGGGTCACTTACAACACTATAGTCCGAGGATGTATGAGGAGAAAAAAGTGTGACAAGGCAGTGGCACTTCTAGAGGAAATGACCAAGAAGGGTTTTTCAGTGGATGCCTCTACTTTTTCTATGTTACTTTTTCAAGACCCTGCGCTCCTCAAAATGATTCAGAAGTTCGTGCCATGGACGTCCTAGCCTAAGTGCTACATGGATTTCAGCACTTCTCAGGATGGATATTGTTGTTTTAACATCTTGAAACTTGGTGTTTTCAATCACTCATGGCATGGCTATAAAATGTTAATACTAATCTTTGTTCTTCTGTGACGCAATCTTGTGCCCAGTAATATCTCCACATGAGTAAAGTAGATGTGTAAGTGGTGTGCGTGAGTTTCTTGCCCCCCAAAATAAATAAATAAATAAATAAAAAATAAAAATCAATCACATAATTCAATAAGATGGGGTTTTTAATAAATTTTAATGATTTTAATTAAAATTTTTATAATCATTTAACACAATTAGTAATATATTCATAAATTTTAGATTAATGTCGTTATTAAAAAGACCTATCAATTATATTTTTACAAAATTAATGAATTAGTAAACTCAATTAATTCCGGCCAGGTGAGATATGGTCTGAAGAATCTGCATTTAGTTCTGAAGAAGCTCCAAATAGGAGCTGTGAATGAGCATGAGAAATATAAAAGTGAGTGTGATCAGGGTAGGCATTGCAGAGGACACATATATCCTGATGTTTAGTCGTGGATCTCCTATCAAGCGTAGAGAGTCTAGTCTGCCTTGCACTGCTAACCAAAGGTTGAATTTCATTCTTAAGATCGCAGTGGAGTGCCAAACCAAGTTGAATTCCATTTGTCGTTGCCCGAATTACATGGAGATGGCAATGCAAGCAACTTTGGAAGATGAGTATGTTTGAATTCTTGAATTTCATTTCAGTAGTAAATAAATTGAACAAATTGATTTATAAAATTTGTTTTGCCTTAATTTGTTGGTGAATTTTTTTCACACAGGCTGACATCATCATATTAGCTCACGTCATATGAAACCCAAATTCTTCAAACATTATCCCATTTGCAAAAATGCACAAATAAAATTATAATTCTTATTACATTTCTCGTTAGTGTATTACATTTTTGTTATATTCTTAAACAATTTTTGGATATAGAAATGCACTCTTATTATAATTGTTTGTTTGTTTGTTTGTTTTTTTTTTAAAGTTGTGATTTAAAGTCTCAAATCAAACACAGCCGACTATATTGAGGTTAAGTCATTAATCATGATAAAATGAGGCCGTGACCTTATTCTTCACTAACATAAAAATCAAAAATCAAAAATCAAAAATTGTATATGTTCAATTACTTATCATTTTCCTTTTTATTTTGAAAAAAAAAAAAAAAAAAGAGTCTTGCAATTTTTCTTATACTCCTATTAATATTCACCACTGTAATATACATGCATACTAACTATAGTTTTTTTTTAAGGAAGGAGCTAATATTGGTGCTTCACTATAATCATAATGCTTTGTTTCGAACCAAAATATTTTCGAATTTGGAAAAGGAATTGGATTGTAATTAAAATAGGATTCTATTTGCAGTTTTGAATAAATTAAAATTTGTAGAAGGGAGATTGAGAAGAAGGAAAAAATTGTACCATTTTGGATAAGAGAGTTAAAAACGTGAAGGAGGTAGTTAGTAGAAAATGACAGTTTGTAGCAGTTATAGAAGGTTTATTTTGGTAAGTTCAATGCTTAGTTAGCAAATCCCTTAAAATTCCTTCATTTTTCCCTATATTTCCTTCCAATACAATATTTCTTATGAAATCCCTTCAAATCCAAATCCTTTTTTAAATCCCATTATTCCATGTATGACAAATCCTTTTGAAATTCAATTCCCATCAAATCCTGAAATTACAGGCGCTCCACTTTCTCCCTTTCCTAAATTAAAATTACAAAGTAATTATCATACTACACAAGGTTTATTCTTACTATTTTTAATTCTCACACCACACAAAGTTAGGGTTCTTGGTGCCAAAAGGTAGAATTCAATTTTTTTTTTTTGTGGAAGGTAAAGTTACTCGCACACACTGCCTCCACTGAGGCTTGAACTCATGACCTCCTTTTAGAAAACATATGTCTAGTATCGCTGGGTCACATGCCTGTTGGTCAAAAGGTAGAAAAGATATAATTCTTTGCATTCTTCAACTTTTCTCACCTTCCACCCTCTCTCCCCTTCTACTTACAAAAATGAAAGATCTCAGTAGATACTCTGAGTTACAAGAAGTTATTGAACTTGTTAAGATGAGCAGTATTGAAGAATCTAAAAAAATCAGTAAAGGTTTGGTTGAATGGGTCAACTTACTCCCATGGAGGGAGGTGGAGTCTTTGGTTTTGGTGGTGCTTGTTCTGAGAGTGGTTTTGATCGGTGGTGTGTGATGCGTGAGTTGCCGAATAGGGATTGTATGTTTCCGGTGTCTGGTACTAGCAGTGATGGCTAGGGGATATGTCGTGAACTGTAAGTTCGAGAATAATTAGGTGATGTACTGTGAGTTATGTACTTGGATGTTTTTATTGACGTTTGATTCGAGCAGTGTTTTGAGGACTAGTGTCGGTATTGTCTCAGGATTATATGATTTGAAATGTGAATGTATGATTCCTTTGAGGAGTAATAGTAGTGATTGACTCTAGTTTCGAGATCTCAGGCATGAGATAGTCGTATTGTGTGTTTTGACAAGGTAAGAATTAAATTGAATGATGTTATGAAGTTGTCTACCTGGTATGGATGTTATGAGGAGATCAAAGAGCTTGTATGCTAGTCGATGGTTGTGGTATTTGGTGTCATATTGCTTTTAGCTTTTTATGATTGTGTGATTAAGGCATGATTGGGATTCTTAGAGTAGGTATATGACTGTATAGTTGTTAAGGTTACGTAGAGCAATGGATTGATAGGGAGTGGATCTCATTGTTATTTTGTGGATTGTGTGATATTGTGTTTGAGGTTTAGATCTGAGGACAGGAACGACGTCTATGTTGAGGTCGGATCGATGATGAGAATGGCCTGGCCAACCATTTCTCCTTAATCAGTTCCTCTTTAGCACGATGTCGGGTCAAAGGTCAATGATTGTTTTGATTTATCAAGGACAGTGAGAGCTCGGTATTACTCGTTGTGTTAGTGTGACAGTGTGGATTTAGTCTGGTAAAGACCTTCGTTTGAGATAATGGTATTTTCTAGATTCAGATGATTTGTTTCGAGTGACGAGGTGTGTTAGGTAGGACCAAGTGTTTGATAAAGGGTTTTGTGGTACGATCGTTGATTATTGAAGATCTTGTTTTGAGGATTTGTGTCCTGGGTATAGAATAATACGTTTTATTGTTCTAGTGACTTATGATTATGTAGTCATTAGGAGAATTATTGTTTAGTCATCTTAAAGTTGCAGAATGGTACGGTTGATGGTCACTTGTACCGATATCTGATGGTGTAGCTATGTGTTAGATAGCGAGTGAATGGTCTGACAGATATCTGTGGATTTGGGTTTAAACTTGATTATGTGTTGGATGGGATTCCTTGTCTGTGGTTTTATGTATCCTTTAAATGATGAGTTGAGTTAGAATGTTGTCATGTTCGGTGGTCTGATGACCGTTCCTCTTTCAGGCTATGGAGCCTTGCGTAGTAGTGTAAAGTGGACCAATGTCCGTTTTTAAGTCATGTATAGCGTAGGGCGTACCAGCCTATCTTATGTTGTTATGTTGTGAATGGTGTGTACTGACATAGGATAGTGGGTTTGTGTTGCTAGTGGTAGTAGTGTGTGATTACCTATTGACATCCGGTGTCAAAAGCAATAAGGTTGGTGAGCTCATATTCCTGTGGTTTGATGAGGTGTTTCTTGGGAAGGTCCATGATTGTGGGCCTCCTTCTTTAAGAAGGGTAGATTTCGAGGACGAAATCTCTTTAAGGAGGGTAGATTGTAATGTTTCCGATTTTTATCATTTTCCATTTTTTGGGATTTTCTTGATTTTTTTGGATTATTTTGTTTCATCTAGTTTTGCGTGTTGGACACCGTGGGGTGTGCTGGGTGAGTCCTGAGAGTTGTTGGGGCATTTTTTTGAGTTCATGACTTTTAGAAATGCATTGTTGGTTATTTCGATATTTTTCAGTTTTTCGGGTCGGGGGTCCCGAGGGGGACCCGTAGCCTGAGTCGTTGAGCGAGGGGACGATGCTTCGGGTTTGTGGCATTTCATATATCATTTTATTATGCTCACTTACTTGGTTACATGTTTATTTTGTGGTTGTTATGTGATTAGTATTTGTGTGTGTGTGTATATATATATATATATATATATATATATATTATAATGTTAAAAGGAGATTTTTATTAAGTTGTGGGGTCCACCATTATTGTAAGTCATTACATATAACTTTGAAATTCATTTCTGGCAGATTATTTCTCTCTCCTCATTTTCTCTCCATTAAAACTTTTCTTTTATGCCACAAATTTTCCCTCCATTTTTCGGCCAATTGGTTGGGTTTCCGGTCTTAGTTCCTCAACAGAAAACGTTCCTCTCATCGTTCTCAACCACATAATCAAAGGATTTAATTTTTGGAGGAGTGATGACTATTTTATGAATTTTTGATGTTTTTGGATCTAAGGCTTTGGAGGGAGTTTTGGGCCACTTAAAGTCAGATTTTAGAGCCGAGCCTTTGAAATAGTAGAATCTCCTCGTCATTGGCTCCGTTCCCACTGAACAGTTTTCCGTTCTGCCACCATTGACCGACGTTGACTTTTGTTGACTGGCATTGACTGTGTTGACCGGCGGGTGACTTTTCCGGCTGAGGATGCATTTTGGCTACTTTTGAGGTAGGGATGTCTAAACCATTAAGTTTTGACTTTAATTGAGTTCATTTACTTGATTTCTCATTAAGAATGATTAAAATGATAAATTTTAAATGTTAATTATGTGTTTATGTGGCAAAGCATGCTCTAGATGATGTTGATTGTGTATGTGTATATATATATATGCTTGGTTGCAAAAGTGCTTAAAGTGCATGCCTTACGTTAAAATGTTTTCTTGAGGTTATATGTATATACATGATGACGATGATGAGTATGTATGGTTAAATTGATGAAATGCAAGCATGAGTATGTCAATTTCATTCATGCATGATTCCATTCATGGCATGGGCATGGTTTGGGAAAAGTGAGGTTGAAATGATTTTTTTTAAAGAAATGTGTTTGGAAAGGATTGTGAGGAAATGATTTTGAAATAAATCAGATTTTGTGAGTCCGGGGCTAGCTTGACCTAGAGGGAGG